GGACTGTGTAATCAGGAAAACAAATCAGCATGGACTGTGTAATCAGGAAAACAAATCAGCATGGACCTAAATTTCTCACACAATCCTTTTAAATTTTTCTTTATTTATGTAAATGTGCTGTTCTTTGCTAAATACACTTATAAGGTTAATGTATTCATCTGTAAAAAAAGATTAAATATCCTGTGAAACTGCATACACCACACGACAAGCGATGTAATACAGTGAAAACAATGTATTTGTGGAAGGGTTAATTTTTACTTGGTTTCAGCCAGATGTTTGAATATATAAAAATCTGTTGGAAGTTAAATAAAAATATTCACTGATTCTGTAAAAAACATACAAGAATGGTTTACATTTCCTTAACTATTCATTCTTAAAGTCTTCCGCTGGATTCTCAAATAGCAATAAACTGAAAGAGAGTTTATTATGGCTATAAAAAATAAATTATTTTTTAACAACTTATCAGAATTCACTCGTCCAACAGAATTATTGTAGATATGTTTTGTGATAAACAAACAAAATAAGGCAGAAGCTCATTGGCTGGTAACATATTTTAATCAAAGTTATTGAAAAGAGAAAAAAAGATACACCCTCTCTCGACTTATTGTTAGCTAATTGAAAATAATATTACTGATCCAAAAAGCCTTCTAAAATCACAGTGATGCAATAAAAATACACGGGCTCGATTCAATGGTATTAAAAATCGTTTCTAAAATACCGTATTTTAAGTTTTCGTTGAACTTCTATTGTAAAATAGAGAAGAGCCAAATTCTCAAACCACAATATGGTGTATGATTAATCAGAAGCTGTGATATCGAACAAACCACAATATGATGTATGATTAGTCAGAAGCTGTGATATCAAACAAACCACAATATGATGTATGATTAATCAGAAGCTGTGATATCGAACGAACCACAATATGATGTATGATTAATCAGAAGCTGTGATATCGAACGAACCACAATATGATGTATGATTAATCCGAAGCTGTGATATCGAACGAACCACAATATGATGTATGATTAATCCGAAGCTGTGATATCGAATAAACCACAATATGATGTATGATTAATCCGAAGCTGTGATATCGAACGAACCACAATATGATGTATGATTAATCCGAAGCTGTGATATCGAACGAACCACAATATGATGTATGATTAATCAGAAGCTGTGATATCGAACAAACCACAATACGATGTATGATTAATCAGACGCTGTGATATCGAACAAACCACAATATGATGTATGATTAGTCAGAAGCTGTGATATCGAACAAACCACAATATGATGTATGATTAATCAGAAGCTGTGATATCGTACAAACATGAAAGTGATTACATTCTAAGCACCTGAAAACAGACTGCTTCATTCAATAAACTTAATTACTTTCTTATACTCCGAAAACACATTACTTCAGGCCACTAAATGAACTTGATTATATCCTCAAAATCAGACTACCGACTGCTTTAGATCACAGACACGAACTTGATTGTATTTTGAGAATCAGAATACCAGCTGCTCCAAGCAACATATATAAGTTTAATTACATTATGATAATCCGAAAACAGGCTGATTTAGTCCATAGACATGAACGTGATTACATTCAAAAATCAGAAAACCGATAGCTTCAGGTTACAGAGCTGACATCATCAACAAAAATGAAATTTATCTTCACTTATTACTATGGTCTTTTTCTATACCAAATATTTGTCAAATACAAGAAATAATATGTGTTAAGGCAATCACGCGTTTTATATAAGTATGAACAAAACCCTAAAACTTTAGAGGAAATCTTACATTTACTCAAAGTTTTACTTTACAACTTCTTCGGGAGTGCTTTATACAAATTTTCATGTTTAAAGGACCTAACTAGGCTTAGAGTGGCCTGTCTCTGAATATTCTAAAGTTAGTTCAAAAGGATCACGATGTGAGTGTAATATCATGTTGAACATTGTATTGCTTTTGCAATATTACGAAAGTGCGATCAAATAATAGATATAGGGTTATTGATTAATTAAGTGTTAGCACTAAGGATCAGAATGTTCGTACCAACTATTAAAATATTTAAAACTAGTGATATTTGCAAAATAAAGAAACATCAAATGTAAAGACAATGAATACACAGTAAAAACATCACATTACGATAAATTGGCGGGTGTATATACGCCATCCTCCTCTATTAATTTGGAGTCGAAGTTGGTGGATAAGAAAAGTTTTGTTTTAAATTTTAGAACAATGTGTTTTGTGGTCTTAGCAAGATGGTTTGAGGAAAATAGTAGAATCAGATACATTCAAAACTTTAAGGTTATGAGCGGTTAAAAAAAATGGTTTGTTAGCGCAATTTTCTCAAGTTATCGTTTAATGCAAGTCTGTCTGGTCACAAATGTTTAATTGTAGTTTGTAGATGGCATTGTATGCAAAAGATATGTTGGTAGAAGCTGTACCAATCTTAACTGGGTAGTGGGGCTTGCTACATTGTATAGGGATATATTGGGTTAGTTGGATGGTAGAACCTGTTATATTGTATAAAGGTATATTGGGTTAATTGGATAGTGGAGCTTGTTATATTATATATAGGAGTGTACTGGGTTAATTGGATAGTGGAGCTTGTTATATTATATAGGGGTATAATGGGTTAATTGGATAGTGGAGCTTGTTATATTACATAGAGGTATAATGGGTTAATTGGATAGTAGAGCTTGTTATATTATATATAGGGGTGTACTGGGTTTATTGGATAGTAGAGCTTGTTAAATTATATAGGGATGTATTGGGTTAACTGGATTTTGGAGCTTGTTACATTATATAGGGAAGTACTTGGTTAACTGGATAGTGGACCTTGGTATATTTACAGAGATGTATTGGGTTAATTGGATAGTGGAGCTTGTTACGTTATGTAGGATGCACTGGGTTAATTAAATAGTGGAGCTTGTTACATCGTATAGGGATATACTGGGTTAATTGGATGGTAGAACTTGTTACATTGTACAGGGTATACTGGGTTAATTGGATAGTGGAGCTTGTTAAATTATATAGAGGGGTACTGGGTTAATTAGATAGTGGAGCTTGTTATGTTATATAGGGGGTAC